GCAAGCTAAAAAATTCGACAGGATAATATAATTAAAAATTATTATTCAATTTATAAAAATGCTAACAAGTGATATACTATAAGAAGATATATCTCATTAAACTTGGTGTCAGATAAAAAAATTACAATCATGGGATCATTTTTGGCTATGGTTGGATAAATAATACCCAGTACGTACGGATGCTGATGTGGAGAATGTATCTTTTATATACTAAGAAAAAGCATTGGGAGGATAATTTGACTAATGTATCAACACCATAATTTTTTTCAGCTTTTTTAAATAATTTAAATTCTATAATAATTTTTACTATCCTATTAGCCGCACTCTTTATGACTACTATCTTATTAACCAAACACTTTTCATATACAACCTCTATAGCCAAACATAATTAATTTTATTAAATTTAAATCTGAAAATGTTAATTAAAATATTATCTAATTAACAAACACATTTAAGATTAAAATATTTATAATTTCAATTGCCAAACACATTACAATATTTATAAACGTGCCTAAATTAGTTATTCAAATATTGTAATATTAATTCTTATATACCATTAAATTACTAAAAAAATATTACTATTCTTATAATTACCCTAAATAGGATTCAATTTATATTTGCAATCTTCCATTTTATATATTTGAATCATAAACCATATTTTGAAGATTATGATATTAAACAAATACATTTTATTAATAAGTAATATAAAATGACTAAAATTTTATAAAAAAAAAAAAGAAATCACGGGTGTAACACATTTCTATACAAAATAATTGTAAAATTTATATATATAAAATAATTTTAGATTTCTATTAGGATAACACCTAAAACTATTTATGAACAAATAATTAAATCCAAAATTGTATTTTAAAAAATACATTATCACTCTTATAATTATGCTAAATCTATTAGATTCAATTCATATATATATGTGATCTTTTATTTTATATATTTGAGTCGTAAACCGTATTTTTAAATATTAAGATTAAATAAATACATTTTATTAATAAATGATATATATTTACAAAAAGTAAAAATTTGTTGTTTTCAATTATTTCACGAGTGTGATACATTTATATACAAAATAATTGCAAAATTTATATATATATAAACGAGTTATAGATTTCGTATAATAATTTTTCAAATAACTATATATTATTTAGTAAACTAAATCTATATTGATTTTACTCACATATCATATTATCCCGCGTATAACGCGGGTAACTATCTAGTACATTTTATACATAGGTATTTCTTGATATAATAATATTTAGAAAGGGGAACCATTTGAATTTCTAAAATTAATACAGAAAACGAAATGACATTATTTTGTTACAAAAAAGATAGAAGCCTTGTCTTCAATTGGTTGCTATTATAATATCTTATTTGTTTTGATTTTTTTTTTTACATGGTTACATGCATATGTTGATCAGGTCCAGTGAGGACTTGTCTGGAATATATTGGCTAATAAAATCACATTTTTTCAGGATATTTTATTGTTTATCATTTGTCCAAATCCTCTTGATCTTCTCAATTTTATATTGTATCAACACATCC